ATAAAGAACGTCAACTGTAGAGGATTTTAGGGTTTACAATATTCAATGAGAGTGACGACCGTTACAATACGCATACATGCATGCATATATTTATAATGAAACCCTAACAGTTTTTCTAAGAAAAAGAAGCTAATCTAGTTGAACACGGATTGACAAGCCCAATCCGGTTGTAAAACAAAAGGGCCCAAGACGCAACTCAATTATCTTCAACAATATTTGATATAAGTTCTAAGGTAGGTGAGTTTATCACCTCCCGAGGATTTATGTCGAAGATCCAAAAGGATTAAGGGATTTCTTCACACATCACTATGTTCTTTCTTTAATTTTAGTCATCATATGAGTGTTTAGTTGATTACAACATTTATTAGAAACTTATTTGATTGTTTTTCAATTTTCACATCAACTTATAAAAATATTTTGTGGTATATTGATACCTTTTTGAATATCATACTATTTTTTTTATGCAAAATCATTTATTAATCATTTAAAAACTATTTTTGTCCCAAATATTTAAAATACACTTGCTTATAGTTTAAAATGAATCAACTTTATTAAACAGTTTTCTAAATATTACCATCTCCTTCCAAGGATTTTGAGCACGATCAAGATCTTCGCCCTATTTCAAGGATCTTAAGCACTCAAGTTTCTAACATTTTATTTCTAACATCACAACACACTTACTAATTTGGTTACAAAATTAGTTTTTTAGTTTTTTTTACTGAAACAAGGTCTAGTATAATTCATGGCGTACATGATAGATCCAACTATCGAAGCATATGAAACATCATTCAACTTCTTTAGCTCAGCCTTTGCTCTAAAACATTGAGATAATCTTAACATTATTCCTTCCGCCATTGGAACAAATCGTCTCTTAAAGTACTCCATCATGAATCATTTCAAGACTTTGTCAATGTATGTACTTTGACTCAAACCTATTAATTTTTTTCACTCAATCTCTTTTGATATTTATACAAAGAATGTATGTAAACTTACCTAGATCCTTCATTTAAAAGCACATTCCAAGCCACGACTTTACACCATGTAAAGTAGACGTGAGCATGGGTCGGTTTCGACCTAGAATCGAACCGAACCGAACCCGAAAAATTTCAAAAAATTAAACCCAAACCAATACCGAAACCACTAGGTTTGGTTTCTCGGTTTTTTGTTTACATTGCGTAAGTTTTTTGGTTTAAACCCAAAAGCAACTACAATTGTATCGAACATTTATCCGTCTTTTGAAAATCATCTTCGTGATCTATCATATTTTCAAGATAAATCTATTTTGGTCCCTACAAATGAAGAGGTCGATGCTATCAATGACTACATGTTAGGGTTGATGAAAGATGAAGGGAAAACTTATCTAAGTTTACATTCTTTATGTGAGACAGAGTCAGCAGATTGTTTTGAGGAATCAGTTTACTCTCCGAAAGTATTGAATGCTTTGAAGGCATCTGGTATTCGCAACCATAAACTTACACTAAAAATAGCTGTTCCGGTCATGTTGCTTCATAATATCGACCAAACCAAAGGCCTATGCAATGGTGCTAGGTTACAAATTTTTAGACTTGGAAAACATGTCATTGAGGAACGAATTATAGTTGGAAGATTCTTTAATGAGACTACTTATATATACCTCGCATGAAATTAACTCTGTCTGATAAAAGAATCCCACTTCCATTTTCAGTTGAAACAATTCCTCGTAGCTATTCGTTTTACTATAACCATTAACAAGATTGAAGCACAATCATTATCAATTATTGGATTGTATTTGCGTAGAACCATCTTCACTCATGGTCAGTTATATGTATCTGTTTGTTGGATGACAAGTAAAAACGGCTTGAAGGTACTCATATGTTATGAGGAAGGTCGTCCAACAAATAAAACAAAAAATGTTGTCTACAAAGAGGTCCTACAATGATTATAGATATTCAGACATTTCATTTTATTTTTTAAACTTTTCAATATAATCAATACCATGCAGTCTGTTTCTATTACTTTAACTTTTTTTTATATATAATTATTGTGTCAGTTTTTTATAACTTTATATGTATTTTTTTATAAGTTCCCCAACGTTTTACGTGGTTCATTATCTAGTTCCGTATATAAGAGAAAACGTTGGCTCATTTTTGTGTATAGGAGCGATGTGAGATAGAGCCTAAACCTTCAAAATTAAAATCACCAATATTAGAGAGGATATGCTTTAAACTTGACACATGTGATACACATACTAGCCTTCAATCATAAAAACTTAAGCATTAAACAAACCATTTGTATGTCTATCTATCTATCTATCTCTCTCTCGCTCAATATATATATATATATATATATATATATATATATATATATATATATATATATATATATATATATATATATATACACCAAACAATAATTGAATCTACTAGCAAAAACTAAAAGGAGAGAAATATGGTAGAAAAGAATCGAACTAACAACCTCTGGAATAATAAATAAGCGCCTTAAACAGCAAACCAAACCTCTATTTTTTCTTATAACTAATGAAACATGTATATATAGATACATCATTCATGGAATACATATATTTTTTAATTTATAGTTCGGCTCAGTTTGGGTTCGGTTTTTACATTTTCTAAAAATGAAACCAAATCCAAATTTCGGCTCTTAAAAACTCAAACTTAAACCATTAGTTTCTTTTTTGGTTTTGATTTTTTTTTTGGTGTTTGTTGGTTTTTTGGAACCGGTTTTGGTTTTGCTAACCCCTATTGTAAAGTCGTTTCCCATGATAAGTATGTCATCCCCATATCGAACTTGGAAGGTCACCTAGCTTCCACTAGTTTTCTTATAAACACAAGGATCATCTTCGTTTCAGAGAAAACCATACTTTTTGATTTCATCATCAAAATAATGATTCCAATTTCGAGATGCTTGCTTTAACCCATAAATGCATCTCCTGAACATACACACTTTATTAGCATGCGTTTGATCAACAAAACCTGTGGACTAAACCATATAAACATCTTTATACAAGTTTCCATATAGAAAAATAGTTTTGACATCCATTTTCCATATCTCATAGTCATAATATGTTGCTATGAAAAATATTATGCTAATAGATATAATCATAAAGACTGGAAAAATGTTTCATCATTATCAAATCCATACGTTTGAGTGAATCCTTTTGCCACAAGTCCTGCTTTAAATGTGTGTAAAATTGCCATCCATGTCAGTCTTCTTCTTGAAGAACCACTTACTCCCAATTTTCTTACCATGAGGAGGAAGTTCAACCAAATCCCAAACTTATTTTTCTCGTACGGAAAACATCTATGCATTCTTGGCTTCATGCCATTTGTCAAATTTAGGATTTGCCATAGCTTTCTGATAGTTGATGGGTTCACTCGCATTTATCATCATGAAGCATTTGTGAACTAGAAATTAATATCTCTCGAGTTAGAGATTAATCCTATCAGATATGGGAACTCCTTATGAATGATTAGATTCAAGAACAAATATTTCTTCATTCTCAATAATTTCTTGTTGAGTCCTAGTCCCAACTCGAGTTCCATTGGGTTGTGGGTCTTGATCTTCTGCAAGTTCCACATGCCTCCCACTTGCTTAACCATTAGCAACATGTTTTCTTAGAATTCAAGTTTTTATGAAATAAATATCTTATTCTCACTAGGGAAGCAAAAGTAATAACCTAAACAATATTTAGTGTATCCTACTAAGATACATTTGGTAGACTTAGGTTCGATTTTGCTTAAAGTTTTTTTTATCTAACATAGGCTTCACAATCCCAAAACTTCTATTAAGATAAGGATGGAGCTTTTCTATACCAAATATAGAATGATATTTTGTCTACCTTTTTAGTTGGATCCATATTCAAAAGTCGAGAGGCGGTAAATAAGGAATACCTCCAAAATGATAAAGGGATAGTAGTTCTGCTCCTCATAGATTAACCCATATCAAGTAACGTTTGATTCATCCTCTTAGAAACTCCATCAAGATGTCGTGTTCTGGGTAGAGTGAGTTATGATATAATGCCATGACTTCTAAGTTGATATTGGATCTCTTGGCTCAAGTATAGGACATCTCTATCTAAGAAAAGAATATTAGTTCTCTTGTTGATGTGGGAATAATAAATACGATCGATAGATTCGATAATAAAGAACATGAATTAAATGACAAGTACAATGAAGATCAAACGAGTGTCGAATGCTTTGATTGAAATAACTCTAGATAAGTTCTCAAGAACTTCTCTATAAGAGCTAACAAAAGGAAATTAGGGTTTCAAGACGTTAACCATAAAGTTACATGCATGCACAATATTTATAGTCTAAACTAAAAGTGGATCCAAGAATGGACATGTCCAAATAGGAATAAACCAAACTATATTAAGCATACATTTGACACAACATAAATAAGCCAGACAATCTCCCCCTTTTTGTCAAATTACGAAGGAGAGTCACTATTGTTGTCTTCTCTGTACGTTGAGAAGTTGGGGAATTTAATTCAGAAGCACACTTCAGACACTTAGATACCATATGATCCTATCCGAGAAGCATTTCAGTTCCTCAGCTGAGTTTGATTTGCATGTATCAACCATTGAAAGAATAGTCTTCACAGAAGACACTGAGTAGAGATGTTTGTCTCTCAGAAATAACATACTCCTCTAAATAGTATTACCAACCTTTTGGTTATACACAACACTCCATTGCTCTTTCTGAATAACTCTCAGCTTCAGCTTTTTAAAATCCGTTGGTTCCTCTTTGGGTTTCAGAGTAGGACTCTACTGTAAAAGCAATACTATCTTTATATCCATCTTCGCAATCTCTAGGATATAGCATATAAGCATCCTTTTCATATGGGCTACGATGGGATTGCACTTCTTTTCATATTTGAGAACAATATTGAACAAAGAGATCAAGTCGTATGGATTCGTAAAAGGCAAGTTTGCCAAAGTGAATTCATCCAACACTTTATCGACTCCTCGAAATCCCTTGAACCTTATGTTCACAAAATCTTCAGTAGGTCTGGGAAACCTTCAACCCCATAATCCTCTTCAACCTCCAAGTTTGATACTGAGGCTTGGTATACTTCAAGTAGAAAAGCTCTGAAACATAAGTCAGAGCCTTTTCAATCTTCTCAAAGCACATAAACATAAAAGCCCTAGGAATAATTGGAAAATCAAATTGATAATATGCTTCTTTATTCAGGTCAAAAGATACCATAGGTTCAAGCCAATAGACGCTCAAATCATCAATGGCTTCTCTTTGAATTCTCTTAATCAACCATGGACGAAAGAGTGAATTATGAGTTTCTAGAGTAATCTTTGCAATCTTAGCCTCTACTTCTTGTGCTTCCAATTCCTTTCAAAGCTTCAGAAGATCATCAAGTTCTCTGTCTCTCTTCTTCTTCTTCCTCTTCGTCATCAAAACTTTTCTTTTTGACTTTGTTTGATGTAGAAGCTTCATTACCCTTCTGATCATTAGCCTTCGATTTTTGTTCTAGTTTGTGTTCATCAGGCTTTTCCTTTTCCTGGGGTTCTTTCTTGTCTTCTCCCCATTGTTTCGGAAGAGCACCACTTCCCTAAACACCATTTATTTCATTTAGCATTGCAAAGACTGCTTGAAGTTTGTGCGAAAGTTGTTGGTGGACTAAGACTGTCAATAAGGAGTCACGAATCTCCGCAAGATGTTGTAGATACTGATTGATTTCCGAAATACAGATTTTGACAACTGTCTTCTTGGATTCCAAGTCATCAACATGCTTGTTGGTATACTGCTAGTTCACTAAAATGACCTTGGCCTTCTGAGTCTTTTTTGCCAACCGAACCATGATCGTGTTTTCGGTGACGAAGTCCTCCTTCTGCTTTTCTATTTTTGTGAGAACGGAGGTGTTGAACCTCAGTAGCACACACGGCAGCAGGGGTAGATCCTTTTTGTGCTCCCTGTGTTGTCCCCTGCAGTTGTGGACACTCGGCCTTCTGATGGCCAGTTTGGTTGCAATTAAAGCAAACCATGAATCCCTTGGGGCAGTCCTTGGCTATATGCCCCTCATTGCCACATTTTTAGCAAGCACCAAATCGACAAACTCCATCGTGAACCTTGTTGCACTTTCTGCAAGTGTGACCCTTCTGGCCTGCAGATCTCGAATCAGCAGGCTTTGCCCACTTGGCTGCTGGCTGAGACTGTGCCGGCCGCCTATATAACCCCTGCGACTCTGCCTCCTCCCTAGCCTGAGTCTCCAATTCAATCTCCCACTTCCGGGCATTTAACTAAGGCTCAGTAAATGTTCGATAAGTCGAGTTCAATACAAACTCACGAATGTCCCTCCTCATAATGCTCAAGTACCGGCTCATGCGCGCCTGCTCAGATGACACATGCTTAGGGTTGAACATCGCCCTCTCATGAAACTTCCTGGTGATCACAGTAACTTACTAAGTACCCTACTTGAGGGTCAAGAACTTATGGGCCAATCGTTCCCTTTCCATCGGGGGAACGTACTCGTCTCTGAACATAGTGGTGAACCTCTCCCAAGTCACCACTGAGATCTCCGCAGAAGTAAGATGTGTCGTCACAAATTTCCACCAGTCCTTTGCTCCCAAGCGAAGCTGGTTCAGTGCAAACCGAACTCTCAGATGCTCTAGACACGAACAGGTGTAGAATCATCACTCGATATCAGATATCCATCTCATCACAACAATCGGATCCTGCGTCCCATCAAACTCTGGTGGCTTTGTGTTGCTAAACTCCTGATATAGCAACGAGTCACCCCTTGCGGTATGGCAGCAGCGACGGCTACGGTGGCCGGGGCAACAGCAGCATCAGTAAGAGCGGCTTACCGCTCATCAAAGGTCTCAATCAGCGTGGTTCTGATAGACCCGAACATCTCTGGTATCTCAGCTCGGATGGCCGCATCCACCTCATCATGAATCATCTGGCAGAGCTCCTCATCGCTCACACCCCCCTCGCTAGTCCCCGGTTTATGGCGTGTCCCAACCATGATGTCTCTGAAATACAACATAAAAATATCATGGAGTCTCTCAAGCGTACTCGCACTCGATAACTCAACCCTACTTGTTTCTTAGTATCCTAAGGATTCCTACTTGGACTGCACACTAATTCGGTGTTTCCAGTAGTACGGGCCCTATACTACCTTCCATACCACATCAGTATTCATTCCAAGCGACCCTCCAAGCATCCCAAGTCACAAGTACTCTATCCCTTGCCACACATAAGCTACTCTTTGGTAGCTCCTCATAGCACCTCACTGCTACCTATTCACTCATAAGCATATCATATCAACAGAAATCTCCCTAGGCTAAGGCATCACAAATTAGGCCACTCTAGTCCTAATATGAATACCTAGCCTACTCTAGCATGCATAACACATTACAACATATTTCTTAACACATAATGTAAGGGAAATTTGGGAAATAACCATTCAGGCGCTAGCTGATCGTACACACTACTTTCTTCTATTTCCTCAATTGCTTTTTATTCTTTTAGGAAAACTTGTTTATTTGTGAAAACTTCCTCAAATCCTCAGTTTGAGTTCAAATACACCCGAAGATGAATCCGAATCCCTCAAACAAAGGCTCTGATACCAACTTGTGACACCGTGAAATTTCAAAACAATTTTTCATTTTGAATTAATAAAAATACTCCAATCATAATTCTCCAAAACATGTATCAATTGTTTTTACATAACATAAGTGCAAATCAAAATCCCCAGAATCTCAAAACATCTCTACCATAAGTGTGTACTGATCATGGCGGCGCCTTCCGGCGATCATCACCGGTACCTGAAACACACAACACGCAAACGGTAAGTAATAATGCTTAGTGAGTTCCCTAAAATACCATGTACAACACATACGCCTTTCCAGGCCATAACTCTATGGGATCTTCCGATCCAAGTGTCTTAGGGGATTTCCATCCCATAACTCTGTTGACCTTCCAGTCCATATCATCATACTCATATCATAACATATTACATATACAACATACATCACATTTTCATCATACACATAAGACCTTCCGGTCACACATAATCGCCCCATTGGGTAAGGCAGAGTGAGAAGACTCACCTCGAAGATGTCGGATGATCGCTCGCACTCAATCTTCCAACCTAGCTTCCTCCTATAGTATAAATACATCTCTAATTAATACCTCCCCGACATAGTTTGACTAATGCCCTAAAGTCAACACAAGTCAACTCTGGTCAACACTGGTCAATGGACACCCTTTGACCCAACTCGTCGAGTCAGGCACTGACTCGGCGAGTTCAGATGTGAACTCAAGTCCCCTAAATCCCAACTGACTCACCGAGTCATTCCCCCAACTCGACGAATCACCAACTGTGTGAGTCACGGGATAACCCAGTCCGACTTGTCGAGTCTGCTCATGGACTCGGCGAGTTCATTCCATGCTCGAACTCAAATGGCCTTCTGAGGTCGGATTTGTTCCTCTAATCCATAAATCTGACCTTCCCAAGCTCAATAAACACGTAAACGTTCAAACTTGATACTCATGCATCGTCCAAATAACTCTACTTGAAGCATTTTCCCCAAATACAACATCCTAAGCCCATTTCTTCCATAACTCATCATAAAGCAAGATGGATAAAGCTCTTTGGACCATTATGGGTCCAGATTCAAAGTCTAAACATGATAAGGGACCATATATCCAACAATCATCCCAATAAAGGGTATAGAAAACCCTAGATCCATGGATTCTTCAACAACACAGAAAAAGGATCCATATGCTACCTTAAGGATGATGTTCTTTGCTCGAGATCCACATATATGCAACCTTCTTGGCCTCCTCTAAGCTGGAACCACCTTCTTCTTGCAAAACCAATCCACAAAGATCAAATAATGGCTTCTTTCCTCTCACAAACGCTCAAGCACTCTTAGGGTTTCTCTCAAGGGTCTGGTAGCCGTAAATGGTGGCTATAAGGGTCCTTAAATAGGTCCCAAACTTGAGAAATTAGGGTTTCTTTCGCCAGCTTTGACTCGACGAGTGCATTCCCCTAACTCGTCGAGTCTAATCATTTTCCACATCACCCATTTGCGACCTGACTCGACGAGTCTAAGCAAAAACTCGTCAAGTCACCTTAACACAATTCAAATTATAATATTAATTAATGTACATGGAAAACCGGGCGTTACACCATTTTATGAAGTGAAGAGTAATTATGAATCTTTTGTGGTGTTGTAATTCATGTGATGTGGCCATTTAGATAATTTACCTATGTTTCCTCTTGTTTTATATTATGTCATGTACTCTCCTAGCGTCTATGCTGGCTTTTACATATTAAGTTATTTGCCGTACAAAAAAAAAAAAAACAAAAAAAAAAAATTGTGTTGTTATGAAAATTGAATCAAAGTGTTGTCTAAATAAAATAAAGATAGTCAACTTAAAGTAAAACATACACTGGCCCTGGTTTTTTATTTTTTAATTGAATCAACCCGAAATGTTATTAGAGAAATATGAAATAAACAAATTGATTGTCGGCTTGAAATTCGAAACATTGGATTCTTCACTGCACCTGTTTGATGGATCTGGCGGCCGACCAAGACCTTACACGTTTCCAAATTGAACCCATCTTGTCTACTAATGTTTAAAACATATTTTCAAAAGTAATTATTAACCGTGACTAAGAGAATCTGAGTTTTGCGAAAGTTTTTATCAGTGTATTTTGGTCATATAACAAACTAAAAAAAATTGAAAAATTAATGGATAATTTTTCTTAAACGAAAGATTTTTTTTATAAAACTTGTTAATCAATTAACTACTTTATGTGATCAATTGTTAAAATAGTTTAAAAGGTCTTATAAGTTTTTAACCAATTATAGATATAAGTTTTCATATAAAAATAAATTAAAAACACTCTATTATAGTGAAGATAAAATAATTTATTTAATTTATATTTTTTCATGCAAAAAATTCTCCAATAAAAAACTCTGTTTTTTAATGATACTCTAATACTCTTAATACTCAATCGGTTAAATTACTTTTGACGAAAGAATTATTGTTTATTTCATGGGTGAGCATTTGTCATCCATGGTCACGACCCTTTTATGAATTGGAGGAGATTTTGTTAGGTTTACATGGAGATCAAGTTTTACATAAATCCAACAAATAAATAAATAAAAACAGAAACCTCGTGTTTTATACCACCACACTAAGAATAATAGCACTTATTAAAATTATTAGTTTATTATTTTCCTTGATTGGCATCCACTGTATTAGCTTTTAAATCATCTATAAAAATTGATAAACGAGTTTATAAATCAAACACCCATAGTGTTATGCTTATATAGCATGGATAAGTCTATGCCAACAAACCGGTTAATGAAGGAAAATGTGGTATATTGTAACAAGGAAAATATATTGAATGCGTTCAATATAGTTTTTTGAACGGTGGCACAAAGTTCATTATGATAACAAGAAGCTAGAAAAAGAAAAAATTACATCAAAAAAATAATAAGTTTCGGATCTTAAAGCAAACCAACCCAATCGGGGACATGCTTCATATGTCTACTGTAGACCCAATTAAACACTTGGGTCACAACCTTATCAAATAGACAAATACCAATCTAGTTTGAGATCTTGAACCAAACCAACTCAATACCGGGCACACTTCATACATCTATTGCACTCCCAGTTAAACACTTTGATGATTGATCACAACTATAAAAAATAACTCCACCTTCTTCTGTTTAATGACACTAAACATGTATTATTTGCGAAACAACCAAAGGCTCCAATAAAAAGTGAAACAAGTTATTTATAAGAAAGTCTTCACCAAAGAAGAAAACAACCCTTGGA